ATGTATATATACAAACACGCACACACACACACACACATATATATATATATATATATATTCTCGCACACATATGTATATATACACACGTACACGTATGTATATATACACACACGCACACATGTATATATACACACACGCACACATGTATAAATACACACATGCACGCATACGGATATACACACACACGCACACATGTATATGTACACACACGCACACGTATGTATACACACACACACGCACATGTATATATATATACACACACGCATACGTATGTATATATACACACGCATACGTATGTATTTATACACACACGCACACGTATGTATGTATACACATACCCACAAGTATGTATATATACACACACGCATACGTATGTATATATACACACACGCACACGTATGTATATATACACACACGCACACGTATGTATATATACACACACGCACTCGTATATATATACACACACGCACACGTATGTATATATACACACACGCACATGTATGTATATATACACACACGCACACGTATGTATATATACACATACGCACACGCATGTATGCTCATAGTTCGTCTACCGCAAGTATCTCAACGTCAAAGCATCCGCACGTGACACAGAACAAAACTCGGCTGGCCAAGGGGTGGGAGGATATCTTTGGCAAACTCAAGGAGCAGCTCAGCAGTCTCAACGCCATGCGCCTGTCGCCTTACTTCAAGGTACGTTACTGTGTGTGTTGGTGTCTCTGTGTGTACTGATAAGCTCATCTGGTTACTACCCGTATGCGGCATTTCGGCTTAACCCGTATTAGTATACAGACGAGCACCATGGCTTCCCTTTGCAACTTTTAAGAAGTGTATTCATTCATTAATGTGCTGTCCCCTTTGTCACAGTCTAGTTATTCCGTCAAGTGTTCAGCCTTAAGTGTGGCATTGACTCACCTTGTTGTCTATTTATTCCGTCAAGTGTTCAGCCTTAAGTGTGGCATTGACTTACCTTGTTGTCTAATTATCCCGTCAAGTGTCCAGCCTTAAGTGTGGCATTGACTTACCTTGTTGTCCAATTATTCCGTCAAGTGTTCAGCCTTAAGTGTGGCATTGACTAACCTTGTTGTCCGTGAAGTATCTGACTAGACTCCTGGTTCATTCTTGAGCAGATACTGCTCATACTGCTCAAATCGATGGAGTTTTGGGTTTTGGGTTTGCCTCATATCGATGGGTTTTAAGGTTTGGGTTTGGGTCAGGGTTGGCCACTGCCTCTCACCTCCTCTGTTTATCGTTGTGTGTCTCCCCTTTCCTCCCCTTCCCATTCTTCAAACGCAAGTCCATTCTCACCCATACACGCACCACGCCTGTCCTAAACCCTCTCTGCCTACGGCACACGCGTCTGTCTGCGCATCACGGACAGGTGTTCGCAGACGAGGCTACGGCCTGGGAGGAGAAGCTCAACCGCATGCACGCAATGCTCGACGTGTGGGTAGACGTACAGCGCACTTGGGTCTACCTACACGGCATCTTCAGCGGCTCGGCTGACATCCAACACCTGCTGCCGCAGGAGAGCAACCGCTTCTCCAACATCAGCGCAGAGTTCCTGCAGTTTATGAAGCGTGTGGCAAAGCACCCGGTCCTAGTCGAGGTGTTGAGCTTCCCCAATGTGCAGGTGTGTGTGTGTGCGTCCAATGTGCAGGTGTGGAGACGGGGTGGGTGTGCGTGTGAGCGTGCAGGGGGAGATGTTGTTTGTATGTGTGAGTATGTGTCTGCGGATGTACGCGTGTGCATTCTATTGTCCGCAGTTGAGGTGTGTGTTGGAGATGTTGTTTGGTTGCTGATGCGTACGTATGTACTGCGTGTGTGTCTGGCCCACTCTCCTTTGATCTCTTGCGTGCCATGGGGCGTACGTATCTGTATAAACATCTGCATTCATGTGTTTTTGTTGTCATGGTTCTCCACACGTGCGCCTGTAGGTATGTGTAAGCCCAATATACACCTTTGCCCCATGCACGTGTCGTGTCCCCAGTTTCCCCAGGACCCTCTAACCAGCGCCCACAAATACCACACCCACAGAAACAACTGGAGCGGTTTGGTGAGCTGCTGGACAAGGTGCAGCATGCGTTGGGTGAGTATCTGGAGAGAGAACGGAGTGCTTTCCCGCGCTTTTACTTTGTGGGCGATGAGGAGTTGTTGGAAGTCATTGGCAACGGCCGTGACGTAGGTAGGTAGATCTGAAGTCCTGTTGACAAGTTTGGGGTTCAGATCAAGGGGGTTCTTCTTGTCCAAACGTGGTCTTTTTGCAGTATGGAGTAGTTGTGTTGCAACGCTAATGTTAAGGCGATGCGTATACACATCACAGGCAAAATCCAGAAGAGCTTCAAGAAAATGTTCACTGGCATCCACGCCGTTTCATTGGATGAGAGCGATAGTTCTATCTTGGGAATGGTGTCGAAAGAAGGCGAGCAAATCAGCTTCCTCCAGGCCGTGGATTTGTCGGTGAGTGGGTCGCTGGGGTGTCAGTGGGTGCGCACTTTGGGTTGAATAGACTACGTACATTACTAGTATATAGACTGTTGAGAAGACTACGCACATTTCTAGTGTATAGATTGACTACGTACAGTACTAGCATATAGATTGTTGAGAAGACTACGCATATTACTAGTATATAGATTGACTACGTACATTACTAATATATGGGTTGCATTGGTCGCCCATGCTTGCTTCCAGTGGTTGTAGCCGGATACTTCGTTGGTGTTCCACTCGTAGTCAGATGTGCATGGGTATCACTCGTAGTCAGATGTGCATGGGTATCACTCGTAGTCAGATGTGCAAGGGTATCACGCGTAGTCAGATGTGCATGGGTATGCTTGCATGGGTCTACGGGTTGTATCTTTGAGTCATTTGCATTGGGACGAGATATAGTGTGTGTGAATAATCGATTTGTAAATGCGTGTGGCGGCCATATTCCTGAATAGCTGGTGCACCCACCATCAGACGCGTCTCCATGGCAACCAGTGTCAGCTTGGCTTTGGCTTGGCTATAGACCCCCCTTTTCCCTCCACATAGTTCCTCACTCCCCCCCCCCCAACACACACACACACAGACGAGCCCTCGCATCAACGAGTGGTTGGGCGATGTGGAGGTGCAGATGCGCAACGCACTCGCCGCACTGCTGACTCATTCACTGGACGGCATGCAACGCATGGACACAGCCCAATTCCACCTGCCCATGTTCCTGCAGGTAGGCGGACTGCTGATCTACCTACCATGCCTAATCCTACTAGCCACGCACAGAGGAATACCTACCTCTAAATACCATGCCCACCTACTAACCACAAACACAGAGGATTACCTACCTCTACCTACCATGCCCACCTACTAGCCACACACAGAAGATTACCTACCTCTACCTACCATGCCCGTTTACTAACCACACAGAGGGTTATCTACCATCCACTCACAGAGGGATACTCCAGTTCACCACCACGTGACCACAGCACGCACTCGTCGCTTTCTCTGTTGCTGAGTGTTGTTAAGTTGGTAATAGTCTACCATATAAGCATACCTACCAAGTGTTGTGTTAGTTGGTACTAATCTGCCTTATAAACCTACCTACCAAGAGTTGTGTTAGTTGGTACTGGTCTGTCGTATAAACCTACCTACCAAGTGTTGTGTTAGTTGGTAATAATCTACCATATAAGCATACCTACCAAGTGTTGTGTTAGTTTGTACTAACCTGCCGTATAAACCTACCTACCAAGAGTTGTGTTAGTTGGTAGTAGTCTACCACATAAGCATACCTACCAAGTGTTGTGATAGTTGGTACTAGTCTGCCGTATAAACCTACCTACCAAGTGTTGTGTTAGTTGGTAATAGTCTACCATATAAGCATACCTACCAAGTGTTGTGTTCGTAGGTACCACCTACCAACAAAGAGTTGTGTTAGTTGGTACTAGTCTACCATATAATCCTACCTACCAAGTGTTGTGTTCGTTGGTACCAGTCTGCCATATAATCCTACCTACCAAGTGTTGTGTTAGTTGGTACTAGTCTACCATATAATCCTACATACCAAATGTTGTGTTAGTTAATACCAGTCTGCCACATAACCCTACCTACCACGTGTTGTGTTAGTTAATACCAGTTTTCCATATAGTCCTACCTACCAATTGTTGTGTTAGTTGGTACTAGTCTGCCATATAATCTTACCTAACAAGTGTTGTGTTAGTTGATACCAGTCTGCCAC